GCCCATTTGTTGGACTCTTTGTGTGGGTGATGCCAGGGTATGAAACTCCCAAATATTTCAGCCAGACCACAGGGCTGGTTAGATGTAAAACTTGCCAGCCCTGACCAAAACTTACCTGCCCACAAAAAATACTAAGTTACTAAGTATAATTAAATTTTTAAAACTTGTAAAATATTGAAGAAACTAATGCCAATGCAAAAAAAAAGAATAAACTGTTTATTTCAGATTTGTGTGTGAATAAATAATTATTTATTATCCAAAAATATGAGGAATATATTCATATACTTGTCTAAATTTTAACCCGACCGTCGGGCAGGTGAATTTAAGAATCTGGCAGTCCGTTTTGATAATAACCCGTCGCGGTCGGTCGGGCAGGCAAGTATTTCGAACGCTGGTTATGCACTGCTGTACTTCCTTCTCACAGTAGACATACCAGCTATTGTGTGACATTGTTGCTTGACCCCTGCCCTGTCGCTAAACGTTGAGCATGTCCCACCGGTGGTAGAGGTCACAAACACATGTACTATTCACATGGCAACTATTTCATCTCAAGTCAAAGTAGGTAATTGCATTGGACACTATTTTGGTCACATAGTGTTAAACGTTTTTGTCCCACCGGTGGTAATGAACACATGCACTATTCACATGGCAACTATCTCACTCAAGAAACGATGCATTGGACAATTTTGGTGACATAGTGTCTTGCAAATGAATTGTACCAGAAACGAGTTTGAAAGCTTTGAGCAGATCTTGAATATTGTAACCTGCTCAAACATGTTTTGAGCAAGGGTCACATGCATGGAATCTTAGTAGGAATGGGATGATCTGCATCTCAAAGGTTCTGAAATGTGGACACCAAGGACTGAAGCTACTGAAATATTGCTTGAAATAAGGGGAAAGTGACTATGGGAAAGATGGAGTCATCCGTTTTGGTCATATTATAGCATTATGGATACTTTATTGTTACTTTGAACCTTTATGCATCGACATAAGTAACAAACAGATGGACAGTAGGCACCGGGTGTGAGGTACCAGTATCGTAAGGATGGGAATGCCACAATAACTCGGTGCGCCTAGTGGCTGCAAGAGTTGTATGCTGCCCAGGGAGTTGAGATTGACAATGCGATGTGCCGTTGAGATTGACATCCAGTGAACGAGGGAAAAACAAAGCGCCTTTGAGCAGCTGAGCTGAGCTGGATATCGGCGCTATACAAATGTTAGTATGTATGTATTAGTGGTGTTCCGATGAATAGGCAAATCTAAAAATAACTCTAACTAATTGTTTTCGATGATTGGTCGTTGGTATTGAACCACTAGTATGTATGTATGCTCTCATAACCATAATCTTGTCATTTTAAAGGCAAGATGCTTTATGACTGCCAACTTCTATATTATCTTAGTACGCAACATTTCGGTGTAGATTCTGATACCATTGTCAAGCAGGAGTAATGTATTACAATGAAGACGTTGTCATCCATAAGGTCCCTGTCTTTATTGGTATTCATAAAGTTAGCACATGCCAAACAGATGTTGTCATTACCGTGAAATGAAATTACATGATAAATGACACAATGTACAGCGTCATTCTGGACACTTGGCCATCGTTGTCCATCAAGTGAGTGAGTGAGTGAGTGAGTGAGTTTAGTTTACGCCGCTTTTAGCAATATTCCAGCAATATCACGGCGGGGGACATCAGAAATGGGCTTCACACATTGTGCCCATGTGGGGAAACGAACCCGGGTCTTCGGCATGACTAGCGAACGCTTAACCGCTACACTACCCCCACCGTCCATCAAGTAGTAGTGTTAGTGGTGTCCGTTGATTGTAGGCAGAAACCACAGGGAGGATGTTATTTGTGAGTAGTGTCGTATCTTGATAGCGTGTTTTAGGGACACGTTTTTTCAGATATTCTCTTACAAAGAGTCCAATTCTCTCAAAAAACGCCATAAATTCATTTTATTGTAAAAATGAGGGGTTATTGATTATTCCATTCTCCATCCAAATGCCGCACGAAGTTGTGATGGAGATAATATTATGATATTTGATGAGCAGAACAAAAACTGTTATAAACTATATACAAACCAAACTGCATCTATAAAATATTAATACGCTATGCAGTTGCAATAGAAACTGTCACTTGGTATCTAGTTTTTACATCTTGAATATATAGGATAAATGTCATCTAATGTTAAATAATGTACCACATAAAAGTAAGCATCATCTATACTAACGGACAAAATTAATTGTGCATAGCATAAAGTTACATAAATTAAAGTTATTTGAAAACTTCTAAACATAACTCAAAATAAACATGTAGCAAAGCACAATGAACTTACTCACATTTTGCATCCCTATTGACACCTGAAGTTCACACACCTGATATTGAAAATTAAAGAACGGTTGATTATGCTCTTGCCTCTAAATGTTGCGCGTACGTCATTCCACTGCTTACAGAAAATCAGCGTCTCTGCGCCGTGGGTATACTGGGGACTGGAATGGCCCCAAAATGAAGTGGCCTGACATTTTGGTGTCCATCGAAACACGATTTCATCTTTATGGATTTTCAACTGATTCCAGACTGACTCCAGTTTGACTGCTCGGACCATTCCTGGTTTACATCCAGTCAGTTCCAGGACTGTACGGAACCGACTGAGGAAGCACAACATCCGGCCCCAACGACCTGCAATGCGTCCAGTTTTGCTCAAACGTCACCGACAGGAACGTCTTACCTGGTGCAATCAGGATCTACGGTACAGGAGACAAGATTAGGAAGGCGTTTTGTTCACTGACGAGTCGAGATTTTATCTGGACAGCTGAAATAGGAGGGAAAGGGTGTACAGACAGCGAGGTGAACGGTATACTGACGCGTGCGTTGTCCAACGTCGACAGTTTGGTGGCGAAAGCGTTATGGTATGGGAAAACATCACATCTCATGGTCGGACACAACTTGTCATTGTCAATAGCAATCTGACAGTTCTTCGATACAGGGATGAGATCATTGGGCCTCATGTGCAGCCCTTCCTTCAAGGACAGAGACGTAACTTGGCGATATTGCCTGTCCACATGTCGCTCCTGTTGTGACAGATTTCCTGAGACAGCAGAATATTCCGGTACTCCCTTGGCCAACTGTTTCTCCGGACCTGTTCCCTATCGAGCACGCTGGGATGAAATGGAGCGACGTTCACGTCAAGCCCATGTGGTTGACGCACACGAAACTGAATTTGTGAACTGACTTTTGACACATCTCTTCAGGGGCGTGTCAAGATGCCTTGTGTCAAATCAAACAGATTTCGATATTACCCAGCCAACAGTTAAACAGTGGTTAAGGAAAACACCACAAATCATGTCATTATTTTTTTTTGCATTAAAAAATGACATAGCATCAAATAATGCACAGTTACTTTATTCCAGTAGTATACATACAGTTCACAACAGAAGTCAAAGAGCATTCCATTCTTTGATATCCACATTACTGTAGCTGATCTGCGATATTTGAATGATTGTAGTTGAGTTACGGAGTTTTGTAATTGTAATGTCATACAAAATACATAATCCGTTGTCTTCACAAATTACTCTTGGTGATATTCAAAATTGTTTTTATAAATATCACCTTTCCAAAAATTTCCAGCAAACACCACACTCGCCATTGATAATTTGTTTGTACTGTGTAGTTTCTTGAGGAAATATATTAGATGACCTTTTGGATCGAAGGAAATTAAAATGTTTAAATGCCATCAGTTCTTATTGGTAAATTTGTGATATCGTCAAAACCTTAATTATCTTTATCTAATATTTTTATAAGCAATTGCCAAATGATTAAAACGATAAAGGACATCAAGTCTTTTTAAATTTAGAGTACCGTTATTAGATGAAATACTAATTATAATAGATGCCAGTGTAGATGTTACAAACGTCATTTCCATCTGGAGACTCTAATCAGAGCAATGTACTTATTCACATATGTATAGTAACTTGGCATTACATACATAACCAAACTCACATAACTACAGAAATTGAGACAAAACTATAGTTTTAAAAAAAGTACACATTTACCTTTACAAAATGAACACTTTGGAAAGCCATTCGAAATCAGAACAGAGACCCGATTGGATGTATAGCATTTTCATTGCAAGAATCACAACTGGCATTCTGAAAGGGGTAGCGCTGCGATCGAGCCAAGAAAAGTCGGTTTGAAAGGAAAAGACCTAGTCTTTGATATCGGCAGTTGGACGCTCTTGCCTCGGGAAGAATGTCAGTAAAAGGCTTCCAGGACTTTCTTTCCAAAGGTTCGTTTGTAATTGAGTTATGTCGACACCAAAAGAGTTGCAATTTTCTCTGGTACTGGGTCGGTATTTTTTGTATAGTAATTGTTTATGAAGCTTCGATTTAGTCCCTTAACCAAAAGCCAGGATGTGTTGACCACAGAATCCCGTTATGACCCTTAGTCGATCTATTGGCACCGTCCCCATTCTGTGGATTTCGCCAAAATTGTAACGTTCGTAATCTATGTACTATGCCCCATCGATTAAGCTGTCAGATATCTAAAATAAAACACAAGGCTGTCTAGTATCATAAATATTTTCACTAAAAGCATAAAATCTAATTATGAAAACATCACAGCGATGCAGGCTAGTAGTTATTTTTGTTTGGCCCACTTTGAGATACAATAATCTACTATTCAGATATAATAAAAATATATTGATAATGTTCCAGAACCATTACATGGTAACATGAACGGACCATTCCTCAGAAGGGTCAACCGAAAAGAAGGATATTCTACTTTGATGGCATAGTAATTGTTTTCAGCTCTTTTGTAGGGAAACACCCTCGAGCGATCGCTGATCCCATTACCGCTAATTGATACAGTGCAGGCATGGCGCTGTCTCGTTTAGACTCTGCGAGTCGGGTTATTTGTAGCCGCTAGTTTAAACAAACAATTATAGCTTCTTAAAAGGGAAATTAGGGTTCTCAACCAATGAACCTGTTTGTGGGAGAAGGAAAGATCTTTACGAACTCTTTCTTTATTAATAGAATTGTCGGTCCCGATTAGAGATACAATTAGGAAAATTACCAGCAGAACTGGTCTCCTGTTGCACCCGGTATGTTACAACCTCTCGTGAAATCCCGTGAGATTAGACCTTTAATGGCGGACGGTAATGTCACACAATCCGGCAGTCAACGACTGTAGCCGACCATGGTATCAAGTGTTATTAGAAGCACCGCCGTTGCACCGGGAAGTTGATTTGATAATAGACCTACCACAATAGGGAAGGATTGACACTATTGACCAGGTGAGTCTTTAATGGGAGTTTTAAATACCTGATTTCATTTTGGGATTAAGCGCCGTAAAGCGATTTAGCACGATGTGATTTTGACCAAATAACAATCTAATGCTCTGATGGTTCTAACGAGATTCGTGCGCTAAGCGGAGTCCAAGGAAAACACGCATGAAGTAGACCCGACAGCGTAGACGGTAGATGATGGCTTGATGTTTCAACTGTAACCTTGGCTGAATCACATGTCTATTAATTCATCACCAATGTTACATCTCCAGTTGAAAGCTGTTACGTCTGACATGGGTTTGGGTTGATTTAATTCAGTAACGTGCTTTTAATCTTTTATTTTTAATCATTAATTCACAATATTTCGATCCGATCATTTCCGCCTACGCGACAGTCTGAAGTGTTTATTCGTGTCTGTATGGACTCTCTGCTGAAACTAAGGTATTAAGTGTCGAAAACACTGCGAAAAACGATTTCGTTCAGACAATATAAGTTACAATTCATTTGTTGCAAACTTTTTTATGAATTTCAATTCACAAAGTGTAGGGTTATTCAACAGCCACAACAGCAAAACTAACTGTAGGCTCGTCGTGCCTTCCGCGACATTTAACCAAAGAGTCGACATAACTGTCGATATATCGAACATGGTTATATGATGAAACGTGACTGATGGAATATGTACTAAAATTACAGGTTAACATTATCTTGACACAAATTAGTTTTATGGAATCTTAAGAGCGTAGGTGACAATGTGTCGGGCCATCTTGCACCCACCAAGAACAAACAGGCGTAAAGGGGTAGTTTTTTTATGTTGTATAGTCAAAGATGAAGTAGGGAGATACATGTATAAATTGTGAATGTCACCAAGGCACGAACATATCGTTCTTTCGTCATTATCGAGGTCGTATCCGACTCTAACATAGCGGCTGTGGGACTTCATCGTGTCCACTTTTCCACGACCATATTTGGCAGGAATTCTGCAGTCATGACCTTCATGTGATACCTCATGCAGTGTTAGATGATTAATTTCGAAACACTTATTGATTTTAGAACAATGTTATTTTAATTTGGTTTATTGTTTAAGATTGTGACACTTTTTCATTATTTTGTGAGATATCTTTCTTGATGTAGACGAGAAACTAAACGACATCCACTGCGGGAAACGAATAGTTTATCTATTTCTGTGTCTGGTCTGGAGGCAGGGCTTGAAGCCAATATGTGGTCTGAATTCGTATCGGTTTCATCTTATTGTGCATGGATCTTATCATCTCAGGTTTTTTAGGTCATGATAAAGGACCTATTATGTCCAGTAGGGCCAAACTGAACTGATCTGTGGCACGAGTGGACATTTCTAACTCCTTGATCACTTTCCTAAACAAGCGCTCGTACAATATTCCATGCTCCACACTGTTGACAAGTGTGTTTTAGTTGGATTAACGTACGTATTGTCTTCGACGTTGATGGAGCACACTGAATACCGATTGGAAAAGCTTTGAACGAAAACGTGTGGATTTTTCAAAACGTTTTTTGATGTAGAAGCGAGAGGAAAATACAAGGGATCTTGTGAAAAAGAAGTGTTGTTATGGTAACGTAATGACTAAAAGAGCAAAAACTATAGTTATAGGTGAGGTAAGGTGAAACATGGTTCAACGTTGCCATCGCTATTATGGTATTCTCGTAGCGGCTTGCGAGCAGTTGTGTGTTAGTGTACGCGTGTGTGTGTATGTTAGTGTGCGTGTATGTGCGTGTATGTTAGTGTGCGTGTGTGTGTGAGTGTGTATGCGTGTGTGCATGCGTTTGTACTGGTGCGGACTAATACCGATTTTAGCCAGTTCTTGCCGAATGAGATACTATGGCGCAGTGTATGAAGGATACCCTACTCAGATAGAGTATTCTGTTTTCGAAATTGCCAGTTCTGTGTTTGACCCTTCTGCTGCGCTCCAGGCAGGGTAACATCAAGTGCCATTCTTAACGTCTTTTGGTACGGCGTCGATCTTTGAACAACCGATCTATCTTTGCTTATGCAAATAACGGCGGTAACCGAAAACGTTTTCTTGGATCGATCAAAACATAGGAACGTGCATGGTATCACTAAACTGTTATAATAAGTTATCACATCTTGTCGAGGGAAATACGGGGTTTTATCAGGCTCGGGGAATACAACCTTACAACTTTACAACCTTACTCGGGACTGATAAAACCCCGTATTTCCCGAGACACGATGTGATAACGCACTTATCTAGCCGAATGTTTTTACTAAATCAAACAACGTTTTGCTTCAATTTCATTCTCAGTTGTTGTGGCAAAACGTTTCCTTGCTGCTATGTTGACACCAGCTGATCGATTGACCTCAATGCAGCGCACGTAACTAAAGGCTTGGCGATGCACGCTTTTCTCACTTCTTGTGGTCACCGAGGCGTGGCGGGATAATATGACTTTTGTACTCCCTGCTCGCGGATCGTGACGGGTGTACATGGTATTTTATCAGAGTCACGTGAACCAATCAAAACTCGACATTCTTACATGAGGCTGGATAACACTAAATAGTGGTTATCAGGCTGGAGCTGAGCTTGATTGTGTATCTGTGCTCTGACGGCATGGGTCGATGCTCATGATATCAGTCATTGGTTTATCTAGTTTGCACACTTGGGTATTGTTTCAATAAGCGTATGTGACATCCAGTATAAATATCCCTAGTTGTTATTTCGATGAATGAATTCGGATGTATCTGCCAATATTTCGGCAACGTGAACGAGCGAGTGAGTTTACGCCGCTTTTAGCAATATTCCGGCACGGCGGGGGACACCAGAAATGACCTTCACACAATGTACCCATGTCGGAAATCGAACCTGGGTCTTTGGCGTGACCAGCAAACGATGTAACCACAAGGCTATCCTATTGCCCTCTTCAGCAGCGTCAAGACAATTGTTAATAAGATGAACCAAGTGAAAAATCGATAGTGGATCTTTGACATGTCAAGCCAGTTCTTAAAATATCATATCTTGATTGAGAAAGGATTGTGTTTCAACAAAATACCATTTTAATCAGCTCATGTGTTTTATTCCAAGTTTAGAGCTACATTAATTGGTTTGGAGCTTTTCTTAACATGTTTGTCTCATGCCGATAAAATTTCCAAGATAATACCTGACAAAATATCTTTGCAGTTCCTGGTTTTCTGTGATCAACAGCAGGCTGACTATTAAACGAATAACATCACACATTCAAAGGACGGCTGAATTAACAGCAACATTCAAATGGCCCGAGACCCGTGAAAATCCTGGTTAGAATTGGTCTTCAGTAACCCATGCTTGTCGTAAGAGGCGACTAACGGGATCGGGTGGTCAGGCTCGCTGACTTGGTTGACACATGTTATCGTATCCCAATTGCGTAGATTGATTCTCATGCCGTTGATCACTGGATTGTCTGGTCCATACTCGATTATTTACAGACCGCCGCCATATACCTGAAATATTGCTGAGTGCGGCGTAAAACAACAAACCAACCAACCAATCAAATGGCCCGACATCCAATTGGTCAAACCGATGGAACGTAGCGACGATTAGGACACGTACTTTACTATATATGATTATTGTAAGATGCACGCTGATTACTGTACTGACGATATGCAATAATATTCCATAAGGTTAACAGTATAAGACTAAAATAACTACAAAAATAAATGTGCTGCAGTTTTAATATCTCTAGCCGGATTTAGGTGAAATATTGATAAAATACGAATTGGACTAAATCACTGGCAAATTACAACAGAGTTAGTGAGTTTAGTTTTACGCCGCTCTTAGCAATATTCGAGCAATATCACGGAGGGGGACACCAGAAATGGGATTCACACATTGTACCCACGTGTGGAATCGAACCTGGATCTTCGGCGTGACGAGCGAACGCCTTAACCACCAGGCTACCCCATCACCCGTAAATTACAACAGAAAACAATGTACAATTTGAAGTATTTACATACACACACAGTCATGTTTGACTGAAGATGATTGTAATACTCAGTACCAATATACATGTAGTTGTACTCAATACTCTTCAGATAATACTTTACCCGTGAAGATCCGGGGTAGTATAGGTCTTCAGTAACCCATGCTTGTCGTAAGAGGCAACTAACGGGATCGGGTGGCCAGGCTCGCTGACTTGGTTGACACATGTCATCGGTTCCCAATTGCGCAGATCGATGCTCATGCTGTTGATCACTGGATTGTCTGGTCCAGACTCGATTATTTACAGACCGCCGCCATATTGCTGGAATATTGGTGAGTGCGGCGTAAAACTAAACTCACTCACTCACTCACTCAGATAATACTTAAACCTTTACAAGGGACTGATAGTAAACGGAAAGGTTGTTCCAAGTCATTTTTGTCTCATCAATATTCCAGTTTTACGGTTGACCAGGAGCAGGAAACAAATTTGGCCTGTTACAAGTCCCCACCTATTATGATTACTGAATGGTCTGTTCATATTACTACCGTTACTTAGCATTGGTTACGGTAACTTGTTGTAGACGCAGTAGGCGGTGGAGTAAATGTTGTCACAGCATGTCAACACTATTCCAGCCATGTAGCGGCGGTCTGTAAATAATGGAACCTTATCCACGCAATCCAGTGATCAACGTCATGATCATCGGGTTACCCGATTGGGATACGATGACACGTGTCGACCTAGCCTGACCACCCGATCCCGTTAGTCGCCTCTTGCGACAAACATCGTTCGCTAAAGATCAATTCTAACCCGGATCATCACGGGTATCAAAGTCCTTCAAAGCCAAATGAGAAATTGGCCGATAATATAAATTGTTGTCTAACACCAGGTAATGGGGAATGACGTCGTAGGCCCTTTCGTTGTTTAACCGCTTTCTCACTATTCAGTTATATATCGACAGTCTGTAAGTAATTGACTGGATCGATTATAATAATACAGTAAATGACATAATGAGCACCGATCTTTGTAATCAGGATAAGTTGACATGCCTCAACGACATCGACAATCCT